GGTGGTGGTGGAGGTGGTTATGGTCGTGGTGGTGGAGGTGATGGTGGTTGGTGGTGGAGGAGATGGTGGTGGTGAGGTGATAGAAATAGTAATGGTGATGGTGGTGGTGGAGATAGTGGTGAAGGTGGTGGAGGTGGTGGAAGTGACGGTGGTGGTGGTGGAGGTGATAGAAATAGTAATGGTGGTGGTAGAGATAGTGGTGAAGGTGGTGGTGGTGGTGGTGAAGGTGGTGGTGGTGGTGGAGGTGGTTGGTGGTTATGGTCGTGGTGGTGGAGGTGATGGTGGTTGGTGGTGGAGGAGATGGTGGTGGTGGAGGTGATAGAAATAGTAATGGTGATGGTGGTGGTGGAGATAGTGGTGAAGGTGGTGGAGGTGGTGGAGGTGGTGGAGGTGGTGGTGGTGATGATGGTATACTGTCAAGTAGGAACCGGCCCATAGCTGACGGTCGAGTGGGTTTTCAGAGGCAGTAAATCGCATGGGAGGAGATGGGAGGAGGTCCCACATGAGATCTTTATCCCACAGGACTGGTCTTTTTAATCTTTTTGCCTTCCCTCTTTACGTGGTGGTTCTGTTTTGTTTTCCTTTTTATAAACATTTCCCTGTAACAGACACAGAAGGTTGTGTGTCTTAGGTCAGGCTCCCTGAAGCAGACACTGAGGCAGGGACTTGGGGGCACTTGATGACGTGTAGATGAGGGCAGCAGAACAGGACGTGGAAGGGGCCAGGCCAGGCCATGTGCTCGGGTGCAGCCACGCTCCGGCCTGAGCCCGTGAGGATCCAGGAGCAGGCCTGGCAGCACAGAGGTGGCTCAGTCTTGACATCGGAGAACTGGTCTTTGTTCCCGTGTCAGTCAGCCCTTGACCGTGGGCTGTCCCAGGGGGAAGGGCAGCCCTCAGGCAAGGCTGCCCCAGTCAGTCAAGGATGATTCTCTGGGAAGGAGACGGCTGTATGAGCAGTGGAGATCGGGGTGCAGCATCAACAGTATTCACTGCACCCTACAAGGGGCCAAACGCTCAAGCCTTAAGGGTACCCCTTCCCCAGTAGCCAAGCATCTTGACCCCCAGACTGCAGATCACAGGGCGTCTCTTTGGTCTTCCTGTGGTGTCATCACTGGGCCTCTGTACCCTGCTTGCATGCTAGCATTGACCCCAGGTGAAGCACCCCTTTTCTAGAAAGTTCCATCTGTGCTGTCCCCTCCTCCTTCCTGTTCCAAAGGAAGAGTGGCCTTATGGGCATCTGTAGTGGGCCCTGTGGAAGATCTGGACTTCTGGAGGACAGTCTCCGTGCCCTGAGCCTCACCTACACCCCTGGAGGGCAGAACACAGCACTGCCCCATTTGAAAAAATGTACCAATTGCCAGCTGCCATGAGTTCTGGTTAAGATTACTGCCAGAAGGACAGACGGGAGACAGATATGAGTGCGATAGTGGGTAGGAACGGGTGTGGGTGAGGGACAGGTCTCTCCTGCCTCCTCGCCCCACAATGAGCAGGAACTGGGGGGGAGGGGGCACTTCTGGGATGTCCGGAGAGTGATGGAGAGTTGGGGAGGGACAAGTTCACTGTCCCTGGATCATCTCCAGGACAGGAACTTCCAGGGCATGGGGTGATGGTGCTCCCTGGGCCCCACTTTCAGATCCCCAGGGTGAGGCAGCTCTGAGGAACCACTCTGACACCCCTCTTCTGTCCACAGCCTGCTCCCCCGAGACAAATCACTCTACCTCACCTAATCCCACCACCTCCCTCCCGCCTTGTCCCTGAGGCTCGCTGGAGGACACTGCTCGGGGTCTGAGGGGCTGACCGCAGAAAACAGGCCTTGCCAGGCAGCAGGCAGCAGGGTGAGCAGTAGCGACGAGGGAGCAGTAACACGCCAATGCCCAGGGCAGAGTCCCCTCCGCCACCTCCCACCGGACTCTCCAGAGGCAGCCCACGCCCGCGCCAAACCCAAAGAACCTGCAGGAAGCTTCCACCCCACCCTGCTTGCGCCCAGGTCACTGTGGACCCCGCCTCACCCACACCCTGCACTGTGCACCCTCCGACTGCCCCAGGGGAACCACCCTGGCTCAGATAGGCCGGCCTGGTGGGGCTTCAACAGAAGCCCACCCCCAGGTGCACGGGCAGCAGGGCCGGCCCCACTGGGGGCGTGCAAATCCCGTGTCACAGCGTGAGCAAAAGATCCTGAACCTATGGACTGTGGACGTCGTGTAAGTAGTCAACTACGTGTTTTAGAGCTGTGCTGAAGACATCTGTAAGGTTATGGTTATTTTGTGGGGGAGGGAAGTAGTTTCCTTGAAGGTCAAAGGCATTTCCTATGACCCTTAGCACATTTATTTTTCCTTTTACGTTTTGTCTGAAGGGTGACGTGCACAGAAGGCCTTGCCAAACCGTCTCCTCGTCCGCTCGGCAGGCGTGCACCGTTCACAGTCACACTCTGAGCCTTCCTTTTTGGTTTTTGGTGGTTTGTTTTGTTTTGTTTTTTAACTCATATGTCCATCTATTTAAAATTGCCAACGACAATTTTTTTTTCTATTTATGAAGAAAACTGGAGAACAAAACTACCATTTACCGTTAAGTGTGCGTGGCTCTTGGTTTGAGGGTGCTGGTTTTTCGGCTTGGGTTTTTAATGTCGTTTGCAGCTGTTTCCTGGCCCTGGCGATGTCTGTCTTGGTGCCCAGTACTTCTCTCCAATTTCTTTATAATAAAACTTCTGAAAAGTTGAAAAGCAATCTGTGCCTTCTTGTTGTTGTGGGAACCTCCAGACATGGCATTGAGAGGTGGCTTTGGGGGCACAGAGCCTCTGATGTTGGAGAGACGTGGTCAAAGTCCTGCCCGTGTGGGTCTCTCTGAGGGCAACTGGGTCCCGCTCCCCTCAGTTTTGAGGTCAGGTGTACTAGACCCATTTCACAGATGAGAATAATGGTGGTGCACATCCACAGCGTTCTTGGGGAGACTAGAAGGGTTTATGGGGCTCTGCAGGGCTGGTCATGCAGAGGGTTCTGGCTGCTTGCAGGATGGTCAGGGCGACAGGGTGAGTCCCTCCTCCCACTCCCTAACTGATGGGGGTCCTGTCCTGTGGAATTGCCAGTCAGGCAGAGGAGAGGGCTGAGGTCAGGGCTCTGGGAACCCAAGAAGAGGAGATAGCTGAGCATTTGCTCAAATCTTAAAAGGGCGCTCTGGTGCCCTAGTGGTAAGGAGTGGTGCTGTCAACTCAACGGTAGGTGGTTCGAATCCACCAGTTCCTCTGCGGGATAAAGACTAGCATTTTCCTCGTGTACGATTTGCAGCCTCTGAAGAGTCACTGGAGGGTCGGCTGTAAGTCAGTGCCAGCTGCAGGGCACATCACCCTCGAGGGGACTCGGTTAGCAGCACAAGCAGCTGTGGACGGCACCACCACAGCTCCTCGACAAGGGCTCGTTAAAGCAAGTTCTCTGTTCCACCCAAATGGACTCACTTCCCTCAAGGCCCAGCTCACAGAGGCTGTCCGTCGGGTTCCAGACGCTGCAGGTCTGTATGGAGGCGACTGCCCATCCTCCTCCAGAAGAGCAGGCAGAGGATTTGAACTGCCGACCTTTCGGTTAGCAGGCTGATACATTATGTGATGCAATACGCTAGCAGGGCTCCGGTCCTATACCACCAGGGCCCCTTAAACAGGTAGGTAGGCAGACTGGTAGAAAAGTAGACAGATAAATAGATAGAAATAGCCACTGTCAGGTCAAAGCCAGTGCATGGTGCTCTGACGTCCAGCGGAGTGAAATGCCACCCCGTCCTGAACATCCTCCCGCCCACCCGCATGTTCAAGTTCATTGTTGCAGTTCTTGGGCCAGTCTGTCTAAGGTCCCCCTTGCTCTGCTGGCCCTCCCTGTCACCAAACACAAAGACTTCTTCTAGCCAATTATTCCCTCCTGATGACTTCCTGCAAACACAAAGCCGGCCAGTGTCCTGTTGTGATCCGTGGACTTTGACTGGCTAATTCTGGGAAGCAGGTGAGCAGACCTTTCTTCCTAGTCACTCTTAGTCAGGCAGCTCTTCTGAAACCTGTCCACCATGGGGGACCCTGCCGGGACTTGGAATCCTGGGGCCATAGCTTCCAGCATGACCACATGCCGGTCACCACAGGCCAGCAAACTGACAGAAGGGTGGTGGGTGTGAGATGGTGCGTGAGGAGGACAGAAAGCACAAGGCATGTGCTGACTTGGACTGTGTCTGGGAATGGTGGCAATGGCCTGGTGTGATGGTGTTTGAGGGTCGCCTGGTGACACTGACCTTTCAGGTAGGCCCCCCACATCTGTGGCAGCTCTCAGGACCCTGGTTCCCCAGCCACGATCAACTCTTCCTTCTCCCAGCTCCCAGCCAAGGGCAGCCTCCTGACTGTCATTAACGTTGGAAGAGAAAACGGAGCGAGCAGACAGACAGCACAGGCCTGGAGTGTCAGCGGCATCGCCGCACCGTCGAACGTAAATATTTCACGTGCTTACGGTTTCCTCTCCCACACGGAGCTTGTCAGGAGTGTGGTGACGAGTTAGACAGCTCCACACTCTAACTCCTGCTCTGAGACCTGCAGAAGCAGCACGGCTGGGCCCTGAACACACAGCCCACCACACCCCGCCGTGTCGGGCTCCGATCCCTTCCTCAGCAGCAGACTCCCCGGCTGCCCCTCAGCTACACTGGGGACTCAGGTGGCCATTGGCAGTGGCCATGTGCCAAAGCTGGCCGATGGGAGATGCGAAGAAGGCTGTGGCGACTGCTGGTGGCGGCTCCCAGGGCCCTTATGTGTCCCCAGCATCACCCTTGGTCAGAAAAGAGCCCCCTCTGCCAGGAGGTGAGGCCCCATCCCACAGAACTGCCACAGCTATTGCTCCAGTGCTGGGGACCCCTGAGTGGTCCCATTCCTGCTTGGGGGCCTCCAGGGCAGCAGCATCCTGGCTCAGCTCCTCCCCACCCCTCCCTGCCTCCTTCACGCCCCCCCTCTAAGGCCACCACCCCCTCATAAATAATAAGCATCAGGAGATCAGGGCCTCAGTACCAGCCGAGCCCACATGCATGCAGCCACCTTGGTAACATTCCACGCGGTTTAACTGTCTCAGGCCCTGCCTGCAGGATGCAGCACTTCCAACCCTGGACGCAAGCCTCGCCGAAGGGGACCCAGGTCCCCATGTGTCCACAGAGAGCCTCCAGGAAGCGAGGTCTGATGCATGGTCATCTCTCCTGTCCTGCCCTGTGAGGCTCAACCCACGGAGCCACAGAGAGCCCAGGGCCATGCCCACTCGGAGGGCAAGCAGGCCACAGATGCCACCACCCGCCCCATGCCCTGGAGCTGACAGCCCTCATCATTCTACAGCTGAATGGCCAGGCGCTGAGGCGGCCACAGCATCCTCAACTGGGGGGAGCCGGCATGGGGTGCGCTGTGGGTTTTGTTCCTGTTGACCTGTGGCTTGGGAGCCCCGTGTGTTCGAGCAGAGCTGCTCCACGGGTTACCTAGGGGATGTTTTTTTCTGGAAGTAAATCATAAGGCCTGGGATTTCCATGAACTACTGGGTGGGCTTGAACTCCCAACCTTTCTGTTACCAGCCAGGAGCAAGCCTCTGTGCCGTTCAGGGGCCCCTTGCATCTCAGAGTCACCTGTTAATGCTCAGAGCCTAGCAGTGCCCTTGACACTGAGAAACCTCAGCTCTGCCTATAGCCCTGTCCCCATTGTCCTCAGAGTTGGCGCAGAAACCCCAAAATACCTGCCCTATCCTGCAGAATCCTCCCTGATAACCTCCACCCTGCACATAGTAGGTCCCAGCAGGAGGCACAGCTGGCCTTCTGGGGGGAGGTGGGCTAGCCCTATGATATGACGGAAAGCATACAGATGCCCACGTTCGGCGGGAAGTGGATGGGCCTTCAGTTTGTCTCAGAGGCCGTGAGTCTGAAATGCTATTTGTTTATTAAGCAAGAACGAAATCCACTGGGCACTTATGGTGCACCGAGCAGCTCTTGGCAGAACACGAGGGACGCAGAGCTGAACTGGACGCAGACACTGGCTTTGAGGGAGAGAAGGAGAATGGCCATTAGGAGGGGGCTGGGACCCCTTCTGCATGCAGAAGAGGGGCGTCCTGTCCAGCTGGGGTCTGCAAAGACTTCCTGGGTAAAGTGACAGCAAGCCTGTCCCCTCAGCAGTGACGAGGAGTGGGCCAGCCCAGGGAAGGGGCATTGGGCAGGAGTCCTGACCGCAAGGGCCTCACTCCCAAGTCCCTGCCTCACAGGCACTTGCCATGTGTCCCCTGGCCAGATGCCCCTGTGTCTCAGCACTGCCTGCAGACGGGACGACAATGACATGCTGGACAGGGCAGGGCTCTTACACTGCAGATGTGACCCAGTAAGGGAGGCCCGACCGAGGACAGGGAGGAAGGACACGGTACCCAGAGGGGGGACATGTGGCCACCTGTGACGTGGCTGAGGCCCTCACGATTGGGAAGAGCTTTGCAGGAACAAGGCAAAGGTGTGACACAGTTGTGCTCCGAGGACGCAGGACCTGCCAGGACGTGCAGTGTGGAAGCTTCCTGTGCTCACTGACATGGTAATTTCATGCTGTTTTATAGCTGCAATTAGCACCTCTGTGGGTGACAGAATGTTCATTTTCAAGGCTCTTGACTTTAAGGACTTAGTAATACACGTGCAGGGTTTATAAAGTCAAACTGTGCTCTAAAACTCATAGTAAGATGTGACTCTGTTCTTCCAACTCCTGCCACTGCCTCGGAGGTAGCAGGAGTTATGTTCAATTCTTTCAATTGTTTCTTCTGTTGCTTACCAAATAAATATGCATGTTATTGTTGTGTACCCGTGAATTGGAACCAACCCATAGCTGACCCTCCAGCGGTTTTTCAGGGACAGTTAATCGCACAGGAAGAGATTGCCCATCCTTCTCCCACAGAGCAGCTCGTGGCCTCGAAGCACATGCCTTTGGGATTGCAGTGCAGCTTCTTGCCACTA